CTTTCCAAGTGACCATGCCTGCTCCACGCATCAGGGGATCCCCCATTTGGAGTAATGCCGAGCTGCTGGACCTCATCAGCATTTGGGGAGAGGAGGCTGTGCAGTCCCGGCTGCGTTCCAGCCTTAGGAATTATGATACCTATGGACAGATTTCATGATGCATGACAGAATGTGTCCTGGTCATGGCCCCTCTGCAGTGCAGGGTCAAAGTGAAGGAGCTGCAGAACGCCTACCACAAGACACGGGAGGCAAACCACCACTCTGGTGCTGTGCCCATGAGCTGACGGTTCTACAAAGAGCTGGACGCGATACTCGGTGTCTGGTACCACTGACAGCCTGGCCATTGGCCACCTCCACTGTGAAGGCCACTGTGGATACTTTGGTGGCTCACATGCCAGTCGAGAGTGGACCGAGCCAAGAGGAGGAAATCTCGGATGAGGATGTGGAGGGTGAGGGTGACCCAGAGGCACAGGATGACTTGGAGGTCAGAGATGCATGCACCCAGGAGCTCTTCTTTACCCCAGAGGAGGCTAGCCAGTCACAGCTGTTGGAGCTTGGCGAAGCGCAAACAGGAGAGGAGGCCCCTGGTAAGTGGCTTTGATTTTGGAAATCGCTGAAGAGAGTAGAAACAGGCTTGCGTCTGTATGATGCGCATACCACCACATGCCTAGTCTGAGCGGCGGAACAGGGTGTTGATCGATTCCCTCACTTCACGGAAATCTGCCTCAGATCTCCACAAAACTCTCATGGAGATACTGGGCAATCTGCTGCTGCAGGTTCTTTAGCGAGCTGCGTTGTTTCTTGCCCCATTAAAGGTAACTTTCCCACACCACTCTGCCATCACTGAAGTGGGGTAGGGGAAACCATTGTTGCACACAGATGAGCTGCATAAGGGCCAGGGCGGAAGCCACAGTCTTGGAGAAGACCTTCCCTTGATTCCCTGCTCACTTTCAGCCGTGAGATACTTTCCATAATGGACACAGCCTGTGGAAAATGTGGGGACGATAATGATTATCAGGCCCCCCCTATAGTGCTGGCTCTCCCCAAGAGCCAAGTGCCCAGTACAGTCCTGAAACACTGATTCCCCTGCCCCTGCAGTTACTCACCATTTTGGAGGTCTTGTGGCTCATGTGCGCTTGCCTGGGGTCAGCCAGTTAGTGACAGGTATGTGAATAGTGGCTGTGTTTTAAATCACTGAATCAGTGTCTCTGTGTTGCAAACAATACTGCTTCTGTAAAATGTGCATTTTGGCTTCACAGAGATGAGCTTGGGAGCCCAGCCTCCCTCTTTGTTAGCACTGGCTGAACAGAATTAGAAAGCAGTCATGAAGAACTAAAGAGGACTTTCTGTGTGATGTCATGATGCACTTCATGGCCGAAAAGCAAGAACTGAAGGAGTGGCAGGACAGCGAGAAGAGGGACCAAAAGGAGAATGCAGCGCGCCGGAACAAAGCCACAGAGCGGCTCTTGAAAGTTATGACGCGCCAAGCGGACACGCTCCAGTGCTACTAGCATTGCAAACCGAGCAGCAACGTGCCCGCCCTCCCCTGCAGCCGCTGTCGCAAAATTCATTCCCGTTCGCCCCCTAGACTCCACCAACACACTCTCATCAACCTCCTGGCTCCAGTCTGTACCCGCGACATTCCACTCCTCCCCGTCACAGTCCAGCCCTGCGGACTCCCAGTACCCACTGCACGCAACACCCGTCCCTCTACAGTGTAGCCCTGCTGAAGTACAGAACCCGCTGCACTGCACTCCAAAGGACAAGGTTGGATATGATCCCTGGACATACACAAATCTTTAACCATCCCGGGACCCCGCCTCCTCCTGGGACCCTCCCTTCCCCCATCTTCCACAGGGCTGATGTGTTTTTTTGTTTGTCTCTCTCCTCCAGTTGTTGTTTTTTAATAAAAGAATCGTTTTGGTTTGAAAGCCATCGTTATTCCAGGAATTGAAAGTAAACAGAGCCCTGCAGAGCAACAGCCAATTTTCTTAAACCTTTATAGTGCATCGTCTCTGAGCATTACAAGCACTGCACTCCGGAGCATAGCAACACATATTAATGGATTTCAGCTTCAGATTGCTGCCTCAAGGCATCCCTGATCCTTATGGCCCCACGCTACACCCCTCTAATAGCCCTGGTCTCTGGCTGTTCAAACTCAGCCTCCAGGCACTGAGCTTCAGCATTCCAGCCCTAAGTGAAGATTTCACCCTTCCCTTCATAAATATTATGGAGCGTACAGCACGCTGCTATAAGCATAGGAATATTGTCATCAGCAAGGTCCAGACTCTCAAAAAGGCAGCGCCAGCAGGCTTTTAAGCGGCCAAAAGCACACTCAACAGTTCTTCTGCACTTGCTCAGCTTGTTGAACCGCTCCTTGCTGCTGTCAAGGTAGCCCGTGTATGGCTTCATAAGCCGCGGCATTAAGGGGTTAGGCAGGGTCTCCCAGGGTCACAACGGGCATTTTGACACTACTGTGGCTCTTTTGGGTAATGCTGATCGCTAATTTGGCTCCTGAACCACTGAGGTCTGAGTATCACTGCTTTACACTTCTCCTTTCCATTGATGCCCAAGTAGCTTTGCTAATCCATTCTTCCCTTTTAGATTTTGTTATTAGAACTGCCTTTGCACTTTCAATAAGAAAACATCAAAGAGTGCTATCAAGAATATCAGTGTGAGGAGTAGGATGCTGGTAAAAATATTCAGCTCCCTTGTGGAAACCTGTTATCTTCTGTCTGCTTTCTTGTCGGTGTCAGAGAGAGAAACTGGTGTGTGCCAGATTGATTTGGTGGGTTTCAGCAGCCCATCCCTGACTGGCGTAGCCAATCTCCCTGGAGCTGTAGAGTGGAGAATGTCCGGCAGTTTGTTATACAGGGGAGCAGCTCTGGGAAGGGTAGTGTGTGGGTGTCTGGAGTCAGGGGGCAGTGCCAAGGGGCATGGGTGGTGTCTGGGTATACGTCTGCAATGGTGGGGCAGTTTGGAGGATGGTGTCTGCGATGGTGGGGCAGGTCTGTGGAGGTGGGCATGGGCAGCAGTTACTGAAGGCCAGGGCAGGCTAAGCCTCCCTTGACACAGGCCGTGGCCCCACCACTCATGTTCCCCCAGGAGGTCCGGCCCTGCCCTCCTCCCCGCTCTAAAATCATAGAGCTAGAAGGGATCTTGAGAGGTCATCTAGTCCAGTCCCCTACGCGCATGGCAAGACTAAGTACTCTACCCTGAAGCCAGCCCAGCATGGGCTCAGCTCCATGCTGGTGGCCTTGGGGCTCCTCTAGTCACAGGGTGGGAGGGAGGGCCAGCAGACTAGCCTCCCCAAAGGGGGTTCATTCACCACCCATGGCGGTGCAGGGATGTAACAGAGTCACACTCACCTCTCACGAGCACCCCCTGGCTAAGTGCACGTGCCCGCACTCTCTCTCTACCTGTTTGTGGTGTGTCTTCAGCCCTCCAGCCAAGGTTCACACACTCTGTCTGTGTGATAAAAGCAAACCAAACCCCTTCCGGGGTATAAGTCCCACAGGGGGCCTATTTCAGCACTCTCTAAGGTCCTTCTATCTGCAGCCCTGTCCTGGAGCTCACTTTTCAATCAGTCCAGCAGGGCCTATCACAGTACCCTGATCCAAACTGTCTCTCAGCCCCTTCTGGGCTCTCTCTCAAGTTGTCTCTGCTCTTTAAGCAGTCCCAGCCCTGGTGTGGGGCCATGTCCCCCAGGGCTCTCTCCTTAGAGACTCTTCACCTCTCTGGGCCTTTCTAGTCCCAGCTCTTCAGCTGGACCCCTAAAAGAGATCAGTTCCCCTTCTAGGGTGTAACAAAGTCCAGGCCACTTTCCCACTGGCTTGTGGCAGGGACCCAGGCCTGCCCTCTACTCCAGTCCCAGCCCAGGGACCCTATACATAGCAGCCATCCACCATGTCCCTTTAAATACACTGCATTGCTGCTACAATCCCCTGGGCCACCCCCATGGCTCCAGCCCAGTCTTCACCCTTACCTCCGGGCTCTGTCTGGGTGGAGTCCTAGGAGCCAGCCCAGAGCCATCCACACTCCTCCACCTCTGGCACCGCAGCTCTACTTATACTAGCCTGCTGGGCCCTGATTGGCTGCTTCCTGCACAGCTGGTCTAGGCAGCACAGAGGACCTCTCTACTTCCCTTTTCTGGGGCGGGGTGTGGCAGAGCCACCAGGCCTCCAGAAGGGGGCTTCAGGGCCTAGTCCACCCCATCACAGGGTGTCTGGGTTGGAGGGGGCAATGCCACAGTGTGTGGGGATGAGTGTGTCTGGGATGGGGGGGTGGGGGGTTCTGGGATGAAGGGCAGGTCTGGGCAGGGTTAGGGTTGCCAGGTGTCTGGTTTTCGACTGGAATGCCTGGTCAAAAAGGGACCCTGGCAGCTCCAGTAAGCACCGCTGACTGGGCCATTAAAAGTCTGGTTGGTGGCGCAGGCAGGCTCCCTACACGGCTCTGCACAGCTCCCAGAAAGCTGCTGGAATGGGGCAGCTCCGGAGTGTGATGGGAGGTATCAGGGGTAGCTGTGTGTGTGTGGGATGTGTCTGGGAAGGGATGGGATGTGGGGGCAGCCTGGGGTTGCGTGTGTGTGTCTGAGATGGGTGGCTGGTGTGGGCAGCTCCTGGGTGTGTGTGGAGGGGGGGGTGGGTGGATGGGGGTTTTGGGAAGGGAAAGCTCTGGGTTGTGTGTGTGTGTCTGATGGGATGGGGGACAGTTCTGGGGAGGAGGGCGTGTGTCTGGGATGGGCTGGGAAGCAGCTCCAGGATATATATGTGAGAGAGAGAGAGAATGTGTGCGCACGCGCAGGGTGGCAGCTTTGGGGTGAGGCTAGGCTGGGCAGGAGGATAGCTCCTAGGTGGGGCTGGGCCAGGATATCTGCTCTTGTGTGTTTGTTGCTCTCCCTGCATGAAGCAGCTGCCTTGGCCACTTCCTCCCAGGCTTGCGGTGTTCTCAGCAGTTCCCCTTCCTGAAGCCGGACGTTCCGCTCCTGCTGGCCAGTCCTTATCACCCACCCGCAGCACCCTGCATATGCCCTTCAGGATGCCGGAGCTCATCTCCGTCCAAGACTTCATCTCCCAGACTCTGGAGGATCTGAGCTCCCCAACCACCTCCTCCTTCACCAGCCACATGGGCAAGTGCCGAGGCACCGTCTGCAGCCTGGAGGAGGTGAGGGGGCTGGGGAGGTTCTGCAGCCCACAGGCTGGAGCCGGGGAGGGGGTGCAACGGTGGACAAAGTCCCGCTTCCCTCCCCTCTCCTGCCTTGGAGCACAAACAGCTGGCGGGGTTTGCCAGGGCTCGGCTGATTGCTGCACTTTGCCTGCTGCTGTCTCCAGCCATCTCTCACCTCCCCACCCTTCAGACCTTGACTTCCTCTTCTACAACCTGCTTGCGCCTGCCTGCTGCTTCCCCATTCAGTTTTTCCATTGTGAGGCCTGAACCGAATGTCCTGGCCCCACGGAGTCACTGAGAAAGTTGCTGTGGAATAAGGATTAGCAGCCTGCCCTGGGTCCAACTCTGCCCAGACTAATGGATACAATTAAAGTTGGATACAGGGAAGCAGTAATTTGAAGGAAGATTAGACCAGAGTCATTACAGGGAGGTATTTGCACCACTATAGTAAAGGCTGTAACTTACTATTTAACAGACAAGTTTTCTAAGAGCTTTTCTTCACCACAGATGTAGAACCTTAGAATTATAGGGTTAAAATGGATTGCAAGGGTCATCTAGTCCAAGGGTTCACACAACAAATTTTTTAGTGACCTCAGAGTGTGGCCACCAACTCTTGCTAGTGGCTGCGCTGACAATTTTTCCTAAAATACTTAATTAACTTTCAGGAAAACATAAATATGTGCATATACATGTCCAAACCATTGTCATTTATTTATATAGGACTTTTTTCAGACTCAGTAATGAAAATAATGTACAGTTGTCTCTATTCTTTACTGGACCTAAACAGAATAGAAACACAAATAAGGTGCTTTGCATGTTCTTGTCTTTTTGTTGGTGTTGCTTCTTTTGCTTTTTTTAAACTTGCTAGATGGTAAGTCTGCTGCTGTGAAAAGTGATATTTGTATGTTTGTTAATATCACTTTTCACAGCAGATTTACTCAGCCCCGGCAAGCCCTGGGACAAATTAAGCCCTGGATGGGGAGGTAGGCAGGGAAGCCGTGGGGCCCAGGGACAATGGCGTGGGTGGTGAGCCTGGGACCAGAGCCGGCTACTGCGTGGATGGAGCCCAAAGCCCTGTGGCCAAAGCCTCCCCTACCCTGCCCCGGGAAAGTGGGGAATTCATCAGCTCCTGCACCTTGCTGGAGGGGGGCAGGGCCCATCACCACTGGTGCCCCTAGGAGAGAGGCCACTGCTCCCCCCCTGCCCAATCACAGCCCAGGAGGCTGTAGCCCCAAGAAAAGCCCCTGGTGACCGATGCAGCCATGGTAGCTGCATTTGAGAAATGTTGAATTCTAGTCTAACCTCCTGCAAAGATTCAGGATCTGTTGCGTCTAGACCATCCAACACAGAATCACAGATGTAAGCCTCCTTTTGTAAACCTCCAGCGAAGGAGATTCCACAACCTCCCCAGGTGTCTGTTCCATTGTCCAACTGTTCTCACAGGTAGGAAGTTTTTCCTGAGATTCAGTCTAAATCTGCTGAGCTGTAGTTTGAACCCACTGTCTCTTGTCCTGCCCTCTGTGGCAAGGGAGAACAACTTTTCTCCATCTTTTTATGACAGCCTTTCAAGTATTTGAAGACCGCTATCATATTCCCCTTTAATCTCCTCTTTTCCAAACTAGCCGTCAGCCTTTGCTCATATGGCTGCATTCCACCCCTTTGATCATCTTTGGCGCTCTCCGCTGGATTCTTTCCAGTTCCTCTTCATCCTTTTTATACATTAGTGACCAAAACTGGACACAGTGCTCCAGCTGAGGCCAATCAGCGCTGAGCAGAACAGAACCACCACCTCCCGTGATTTGCATGCTATGCCTCTGTTAATGGAACCCAAAATTGTATTTGTGGACTCAGGTTGAAGTTGTGAGCCACCACAACTCCCAGATCCTTCTCAGCAGTGCTGCTGCCAAGCCAGTTTTCCCCCCATTCTGTATTTGTGCATTTCGTTTTTCTTCCCTAAGTAGATATTCACCCACAAAAGCTTATGCTCCAATAAGTCTGTTAGTCTATAAGGTGCCACATGACTCTTTGCCACTTTTACAGTTCCGGACTAACACGGCTACCCCTCTGATACTTGACACCTTACATTTATCTTTGCTGAATTTCACTTTTGTTGTCTATAGCCCAGTTCTCCAATTATCAAGATCCCTCTGAATCTTAGCTCTATCCTCCAAAGCGTTGGCAACCCCCCCCCCCCCCGTGTTGTGGCACCTGCCGATTTGAGCAGGGGGCTCTCTAGTCCTCTCATTGAGGCCACCTGCATAGCCATGTATTTACTTCCCCACTTTGACACTCCCTACCCTGGCCTTTTCCTTCAAAAGGGAGGATGGACGAGAACACCACTTTCACCCCAAGCTCTTTTATCCTTCTTCCCAGAGCCATGTAGGGTTGCCAACTTTCGAATTGCACAAAACCAAACACCCTTGCCCTACCCCTTCCTGAGGCCCCACCCCTTCTCTGAGGCCCTGCCCCCACTCACTTCATTCCCCCTCCCTAGGGTGACCAGATATCCCGATTTTATAGGGACAGTCCCAATATTTGAGGCTTTGTCTTCTATGGGTGCCTATTACCCCCCACCCCGGTATTGATTTTTCACACTTGCTCTCTGGTCACCCTTCCCCTCCCCCCATGGCTCACTCTCCCCCACCCTCACTCACTTTCACTGGGCTGGGGTGTGGGAAGGGATGAGGGCTCCAGTTGGGGACATGGGCTCTGGAGTGGAGTCAGGGATGTGGGGTTTGGGCTGCGGCTGGGGGCTCTGGGGTGCAGGAGGGGGCTTAGGGTTGGGGCAGGCAGTTCAGGTGTGGGAAGGGGGTGCGGGCTTTGGGAGGATGTTTGGGTGCAGGATGGGGCGTGGCTGGGGGTGGGGGCTCTGGGGTGGAGCCAGGAATGAGGGGTTTGGGGTGCAGGAAGGGGGTCTGGGCTGGAGCTGAGGGATTTAGACTGCAGGAGCAGGCTCCGGGCTGGGGCAGGGGGGTTGGGTGCAGGAGGGGGTGTCGGCTCTGGGGTGCAGCTGGGGGATAAAGGGTTTGGGGCGCAGGATGGGGCTCAGGGGCTGGGACAGGGTGTTGGGGTAAGGGCTTCAGGAGGGAGTTTGGGTGCAGAAGGGGGCTCAGGGCTGGGGTTCAGGAGGGGGTGTGTGGTATGGGCACTGGGAGGGAGTTTGGATGCAGAAGGGGTTCCGACCTGGGGCAGGGGGTTGGGAGGAGGTTCAGGGTGCAGGCTCTGGCCAGGCGGTGCTTACCTCAGGTGGCTCCCAGTCCACAGTGCAGCGGGGCTAAGGCAGGCTCCCTGCCTGCCCTGGCTCTGCGTGGGTCCCAGAAGCAGCCGGCATGTCCAGCTTCTAGGCACAGGGGTGGCCAGGTGGCTCTGGCAGTGCCCGCACCTGTGCCTGTAGGTGCCCCCACCCCACAGCTCCCATTGGCCACAGATCCCAGCCTATGAGAGCTGTGGGGACCACGCTCAGTGCAGGGGCAGTGTGTAAAGCTTCCCTGATTGCCCCTACACCTAGTGGCTGCAGGGACACGCTGGCCACTTCCAGAATCCACATGGAGCCAGGGCAGGCAGGGAGCCTGCCTTAGGCCCGCTGCACCGCTGACCGGACTTTTAGAGCCCGATCAGCGGTACCGTCTGGAGCTGCCAGGGTCCCTTTTTGACCAGGCGTTCCAGTCAAGAACCAGATGCCTGGCAACCCTAGAGGTACGTAATCTGCAGTGATCTACTCAAGGTCATTCTTGGCAGTATTGCTGGTGCCTATGTGGATAGGTAGGAAGGAGCAGTGGTCCAAGGACTTGAGGAGTCTCGACAGACTCTGTCACAGCCTGAACTCTAGCTCCAGGCAAGCAGCACACACTTTTTGGGATTCCCAGTCTGGGTGGTAGATAGATAACTCTGTCTCCCTTAGGAGGGAGTCCCCAACCACCACCACCCGCCTCCTCCTCTTGGGAGTGGTGGTCATGGAAATCCCATGCCTAGGACAATGTATCCCATGGCTTCGGGTCAACGAGGTCTCCTTCTGACTCCTTCCTCAGATGGGCCTAAAAGCAGTCGCTTACCTTGATCTGTGCTGGGGTATATTGGTTCTCCTCCTCCTTCTGGAAGTCACATGCTGATAACTTTCTTCCTTGTTCTTCAGTCCCCTCTACACTGCCCTGTCCGATTCTTCAGCATGCTATGCCCGCAGTACCAAATCCTGACTTCTATCCAGGACGTCTACATTTTCTCTGATGCAATGTGCACGCAGGGTCATTACTTGGGTCTCTACTCCTTTAACCTTTTCTTCCAGCATGGGGACCAGCTTGCACTTTGTACAGACAAAGTCACTTCTAAGCTCCAGGACAAAGACAAACATGGCACATCCCATGCAAGTCACAACAGCTAATACTATCCATATTTCCTACCTTGTAGTGTGAGGTATCAAGAGTCTCTTCAGATGCTGTAATTGCTGTCTGCAGAAGCCTGAAAGGCAAAACTGTGTGTGGGCTTTCCCCCTAGGCAAACTCCCTCTGTTTGCTTCTCCTCTTTTCACTGCAAGTCAAGTGGTGCCCCAAGCTTGAGTCCTGTTCACACCCATGCAAAACACTTGAGCATGGTGGTGCTGGTAACTGGACTTGGCTGGCCTGTCCAGGGCCAAAGACTACGGTCCAAGTTGGGCCTTGATTACACTTACAGCACTGCAGACTCAGCGCTTAGTGAAGTTGCTGCCTAGGACGGGAGGGCTTTGCCCATTGGCACAGGTACTCCACCTCTCAGAGGCGGGAGATGTGTTGACAGGAGAAGCCCTCCCACAGACACAGTGCTGTTCACATCAGGAGTTCAGACAGTATAACTGTGTCGGTCAGGGGTGTTTTGCACCCCCCTGAGCAAAGTAGTTATAATGTCGTACGTTTGTAGCACAGACCAGGGTTTACACACAAGGCAGCAGCAGCTAATACAACCATTCTGTACAGCTCCCACGGTATTTGGCAGTGAGGCTGCTCTCACTCGAGCTCAGCTAACAA